AAAGCCCTTGATCCTTTAGTCATCGCCCCCTCAGCCTGAGAAGGGCTGGCCAAGGACCCCCCACACAGGGAGGGTCCAAAATGACCCTCAAGGAGGGGCTTGAGCCCAAGTGCAGCTTTTCTCAGCAGCAGGGGAGGAGGCCAGGGAGGAGGGGTGTACCCTGACACTGTGCCCCCACAGAAGGTCCTGCTCAGCTTCTGGTGTGGGGGGTCCCCCCCCATGATGTCCCACCCCTGCATCCCAGCTCTGCACCCCACTTCCTTCCTCACAGGTTTCCTCTCACCTTCCCCAGCCCACTGCCACCTCCATTTTCTCACCTCCTGTCCCATCAGGGCTATCAAAGCCTCTGGGCCCATGGCACCGGTTGTCACCAGGCTGGGCACCGTCCCCTGCCCGTGGCGTGGTGTGGGCAGTGAAATCCCACTGAGTGGCCGTGGAGCTGAGGGCTGTGGTGTCCAGCGTCATTTCTGAACTGGAGACCTCTGGAGCAGCGCTCTGCCTGACAACAAGTGATGCAAGTGCCAGCAGCCAATAGGACTTTTTTTTTGCCCCCCCCCCCCGGGTGTCAGGGCAGGGTGGGGACCCGAAGGTATTTCCAGAAGCTTCACTCGGGGTGCTCATTGCCTTGGGGAGCCCAGTGGAGCCATGGCTGAGGAGCAGCGAGACCTCATCTCTGACCGCGGCAGCGGAGTGCTCAATGATGGGGACACCCAGAGGTGCCGCTGCTGGGGACACGGGGATGGGGCGCACAGGGAGGGCAAAGGGGGCACAGTGAGGTCGTGGAGCAGGGGGGTATTGTGTGGCTGTGGGATGGAAGGGGATACAGCCGGGTCAAGGGGGCACAGAGGGACTATGAGGCAGAAGATGGGGTGCAGGCTGTGGGAATGGGGCACTGTGAAGCTAAGAGGGCCGTGGAAGGGGCCAGAACATGTCTGTGAGGCAAGGCAGGGACACGGGGTGGCTGTGGGATGGGGGGGAATTGGGCGGCTATGGGATGGGAGGCATGGGGTGGCAGTGGGAGGGGGACAGAGGGTGGTGGCTGTGGGATGGGGGGAATTGGGTGGATATGGGATTGGGGGGGCACGGGGCGGCCGTGGGATGAAAGGGGTCACTGCATCTCTGGGCCGCCGGGGACAAGGCAAGGCGGTGGGGTGGCCAGGCTCACAGGGTGGGGCAGAGAGCCATGGCTTGAAACTTTGGGGGAAGCAGCTTTGTGGGAAAGAGGTTGTGGGACAGGCAGGCTGATGGTGTGGCCGTGGGGCAGGAGCGGAGCCTGGACCCAAATTACTTTGTGGGGCTGCCCCCCCATGTCCCAACTCGTCCCTATATCCCAACCACCGCAGGGGGGACACCCCCCTCCCAGAACTTTCAGCCAATCAGAAGCCCTGGAGCTCTGACGTCACCAGTCACCAGGCAGACGCCGATGCAGCGGGCCCCGTTCGGGACTTGTCCCTTGGGCGGGCAGCGCAGGCAGGGGGTGACCTCTGGGGCACCGCTGCACCTCGGCAGTGCCACATTCACCCAGCGGGCAGGATCTGGCACAACATCTTAAAAATTAAGTGCAGTCCAGCATCCCATGAGTCGTGTCCTCTGCTCCATGGACCAGTAAGATTCCAAGCGGCTTCATCATCCCGCAAAAGGCGATGACCAGAGTGATGCTGTTCCCCAGAATCGCCTGGCAGCGCCCTGTCCCCTCCCACGTGCTTTTCGTCCTGCTCCCGTGTCCCCACGTCCCCCCGCCCCCACAGAGGGTTTCGGTTCCCGCTGTGGGGGCGTGACGCTCCTGCTGAGGTTTCACTTCTGCTCTCCTCGATGGGGGAATTTGCATTTGTCTGGCTGCAAACCCCCGGGACAGGAGTGTCTGAGGCCGGGAGGGGGTGACAGCAGGATGTCACCTCCAGCTGCCGGTGGGTGGCTGAGCTCCCCGTCCGTGTCCCGCAGGTCTGTGCTGAGGCGCAAAGCCGCCTTCTCCACACTCTCCATCCTGGTGGCCCTGCTCATTGCTGGCCAGGCTGTCACCATCTACTTCGTGTACCAGCAGAGCGGGCAGATCAGCAAGCTGACCAAGACCTCCCAGAGCCTGAAGTTGGAGGCTCTGCAGAGGAAGCTGCCTGCTGGTCAGTAGCCCCATGGACACCAGAGTGGTGGGAGGTGGAAGAGAAGGGATGAATACTCCCAGATCCTCCTAGGCCACCCAACCTGCTTGGTGCCTCTCAGAGTTCTCCTTCTTCGGCAGGTGCCAAGCCAGTAAATAAGATGAAGATGGCCAAGGCAAACACTCCTCTGGTCATGAGTGTCCTGCATCCTGTACCCTTTGAAGACCTCTCAGTAAGAGAGACCCACCACCACTTGGTGCTGCCTGCCACCCTCAGGCCTTGCTGCTGTGCTCACACTGCCTCTTTGTCTTTTCTCTTGAGGTTAAGGCCCCTGCTAGCAACAAAACCGAGGATCAAGTGAAGCACCTGCTCCTGGTAAGGCCCTCGGCTCCCCTCCACCCCATAGCTGCCTCCTGCAGTGGTCAGGGGTCTTACTTGGGATGTTCAGAGCTGGTGGAGGAGCTCCTGACCTCCTGCAGCATCTGTCTGGCTGATACCAGCAGAGCTCCAACCTGCACCTCCCCACCTCATTTTTCTTTGCCCTCACTGTGGTTGTTCTACAGCAAGCAGACCCCAGCAAGATGTTCCCGGAGCTGAATGACAACCTGATGGACAACTTGAAAAGACTGAGGAGCACTATGACTCATGTGGACTGGAAGGTCAGTGCTTGTCACTGTCATCCTGTCCCACTTCTGTCCAGGAGTGCTTTGGGGAGGGACTGGGGTATCCCCAGCAGGACAGAGTCTGTCTTTAGCCAGGCTTGGACTGCTCCCACCCCAAAGAAGGGGATGGTGTTCACCACCTTCTCTGTCCAAGCTAGATCTCATGACATGGCTCCCCTGGGGTGAACACCCCCATGCCCATTAACATACTGTAGCCTCTCATTGCAGTCCTTTGAGTCCTGGATGCACAAGTGGCTGCTGTTTGAGATGGCCAAGAACCCCAAGTCGGAGGACCACAAGGCAGTCCCAGCAGAGAAAGGTACTGGGGATGGGACTGCTGAGCTGGGGGGGGTCAGGGAGTTGTTGGCATGGGGCAGCTCCCAGGGAACCAAGCCCTCCCTCCACTCATGGATTTGTTCTGTGGGGAGCCCGTTTCGTGGCTGCTGGGACATCACAGAGCAGCTCTGCCCACTGCTTGTAGGGTATTTGGGGTGAATAAAAGACTGAACAGCTGGAGCTCCATCCCAAGTCCTCCATCCCTGCTTGGCCCAAGAGCTTCAGAAAGGTCACTGAGCAGGGGCTTGTTCACCTTTAAATGTTTCTGGGGAAGGGTCAGGGAGGCTGATAGTGTCCCCTCTGTTTCTATTGCCCTAGTGCAAACTAAGTGCCAAGCAGAGGCCACTTTTGGGGATGATCAGCTGGGCCGCTTCCGCCCACAGTGCGATGAGAACGGTGACTACCTGCCCAAGCAGTGCCATTTCTCCACTGGCTTCTGCTGGTGCTCCTACAAAAATGGCACCAAGATTGAGGGCACTGTGACTCGGGGAAAGCTGGACTGCCCCGGTAGGTTGCCAGGGAGGGGATGGAGAGGAAGGAGCAGTGTGCATGGACTGCTTGGGAGTAGGGAGGACTGTTAGGAGGGCATCTAGGCTTCAGGAAGCACTCCTCACCCATCCAGTGCCAGTATGCTAAGGCTGGAGAGGACCCCAAAACCCACAGCCCCCCACAGGTAGCTGGAGTTGAGATGTGCAGCCAGGGTTTTCCATGAGCCCCTCCCTTGCCCCCTGCTCAGCAGTCTGTGCAGGCTCTCCCCTGCTGCCCTCAGAGGGATGGGGATGGACAATGGGGCAGCCCTGGGCTCCAGCACCCACATCCTGCCCTCCCTTTGCAGGCACCGATGCTCCCAGTGCTGCCACTGCCACCCCAGATCCAGAGGAGATGATCTTCTCTGGAGTGGACATGCTTAAGCTGAGCACAGGCAAAGGTGAGTGTCCAAGTGTCCCCAGAGTCCTGAGGACTGCTGGGGAGGGGGAGGATGCAAGGGAGGGGTTTTGGAAAGTCCTTGAGCTGTTTCACTACCTCCTCTTGTTCTGCCAACAGGTTAGTGTAGAAGAGGAAGCCAGCAGTTGCCTTCAACATCCCTGCCCCTTTAGCTCCTGCCTTATTTTTTTTTCGCTATTTCTTTTCTGCTCTTACATTGCTTTTCCAAGGCAGTTAACAGTGGACATCCCGGGGCACCCTTCCCCTGCTGCAGAGCATCAGCCAGGGCTGAGCTGCCACCACCATGAAATAGAGTGAGTAGAGCAGGCTGGAAAATTATTTCAATGACATCAGATCCATAAATCCTGTTCTCTTTGGCTCAACCTCCAACAGCTCCCAGGCAGCAGTGCAGCTCACCCCTGCTGAAGAACTTTAGCTTCCTTACACCAAATGAACATTAAAAGCAGCAAAATAACCCCCACCAGCTTCTTAACTGATCCCTGTAGGCTGGAGCCCTGTTAGATTACTGGACTATTGGGTTTTTATTGTGGAATGCTCAGATTTGTACATAGAGATTCACCTACAGCCTCAGCAGTGGGTAATCATAGGCAGAGTGGCTTCTAATTTTCCTGAATATATCTGATTGCTCCTTTATAAACAATCTCACAAGCTAATAATCTCAAATAAACTTTTCAATCAGAAAGCCTCGTAAGCAACTCCAGCAGGGCTCCATGTGCTGTTTGCAGCTGTCTGAGGTTATAAATAAATGAAACAAAAAAGAGATAAAGAAAAATCTCTGCAGGCATTTGGACAGCTGTATCTCCACTCAGGACTGGCTGTGTTCCCTGGCCCATTCCTTGTTTGATTTCACTTGTACCTTGGGATCCCCCTGCCCCAGACAGGCAGACACTGGGCTCTGCTCTCCCACACACAACATTCTCCAGAGCCAGTCAGCCTTGGCTTCCCCTGAAAGCAGCTGAAGTAAAATCTGTTTGTTGTTTTTTATTTTGTATTTCATAAAAAAAAAAACAACACAAAAACTGACTCTGCCTTGGTTGAGAACAGCTGCTGGACACAACTGTTCAGTGCAACTCCAGGGACATGATAATCACCACTGTCAGTGTTAGGATAAAAAGGAAACCCAAGAGCTTTCCTTGTAGTAGCAAAAGGACTGACACCACAAGTCATGGGAGGAAGGGAAAAAAGGTAAAAGTTTTTCTCAAAAATATAGCTCTGTGGTAAGAGAAAGGGATGGCTGGGTGTCAACAACAAGAAAAGCAGTTTATGCTCTGCTCTGGTCAAACTGCCTCCTCCAGTTCCATTCCATCTGGAGGGACTATAAACACATCTCTGGGCCTCAGCAGGGCAGGAGGAGGCAGAAAGTTAAAGCAGAGCTGTAAAAGTCACAGTTAAAAGAAGTTATAAATTATTATTTGAAAACAAGTTGGAATTCTCCAGGTGAGCTTCCTTTTCCTCTCTTCTGTTTGATCTTCACCCATAAATCTTTAATCACAGGAATGCGGTACCTTTGGGGAGAGGAGTTAAAAGTTAGGGATGGGGAGGAGGAGAACAGCCTTACAACTGAGCAGAGCATGGGCAGAGGCATCTGGTCCACTTCCAGGTGGCTACAACATCACCATCTAATCCCCATCACTTTCCCAAGCTCCCTGTGGTCAGCAGGGACAGACAGACACTGCCAGAAGATGCTCATCTCTGCTGGTCACAGAGGTCAGCAACACCCAGGCTGGACATCCAGTTCTCAGCAGCTAAAGAGTTGAGGTCAGACACATCCAAAGAAGCCAGCACATGGCTGCATGACATTCCTCACGTCACTCCACACCCTGGCCCTCTGATCCAAGGCCAGGCTGACTCAATGAGCTCTTAGAGGGCACACTGTCTTCCTAAATCTGGCCCAGGAGTTCTGGATGTGGCCAAGGTTACACTGCTTAGAGTACCAATGGCCAATCCCCACAGGCCATGTACCTTCTTACAATCCTTCAGGCTCAGCTCCTTTCTTCTTCTAAAATGGAAAGCAGAAAAAAAATACATCAGTATCATTTGCACCACAGACATGAAGGACCCAGTAAAGCCACAGAGGCTTCCTGGATATGTCCCTGTAGAGGTGGCAGCCACCACAAGGAACATTCCGTAGTCTCCCTCTGTTACCCCTTCAAGCCCTTGGGGTGGGATGCAGAAGCCTGGCAAGCTCTCAGGCACTCCAGCTTCTGCTGAGAATGAGATGAACAGACAGCTAGAGAGGAGCACCTACTCCTTAGACAGGACTAAGAGTCCCTGGGGTTGACCATTCCAGGGGAAAGGAATCTCCTAGGGCAGCAATACAGCAACAAGCCCTTTGAGTCACTCTAATCCCAACCAAAGGTCAGGCTGTCTTAAGACTGGCCACAGTGAACTGTAGGCTTCCCTGTACCGTCAGCAAGGCCTGGATATGGCTCTGTTCCTTCTCCAGCCTGGGGAGCTGGGATGAGCACCACAGCCCAGAGTGTGACCCATACCTTCTTCTTCTTGTGAACCTCAGCAGAGTCATCTGCTACAGGTGCTCCTTCCAAAGGTACCTTTTTGCTCTTCCTCTTTTCTTTTCCAGTCTTCTTTTCTAGGAGTGGGAAAGAAAAGCCAGCTAAGAGAGGTACTCTGGTATTGCCAGCCTCTGAGAGGGAGCACAGACTGGTAGGAGGATCCCCAATAAGTTTCTGATCATATCCAAACCTGAGCAAGATTTCCAGAGCAGGAATGTTTCCCTAATACCCCTGAGCCAGAGCAGCTTGATCCCACCATCTGTGCACACACATGGGTGGAATGACATAGAATTCCCTTCTTTACACCTCCTGCTCCAAGGAACTGCTTCAGGGCTGGAGTAGATGGGCACATGCCAGAAATGAGAGCCAGGGGAGCTGCTAATACAGGGTGGACACGAGGTTCAGCTCAGCACAACTGCTCAAGAGGCTCCACTTACCGCTGTTAAACAGCTCACACAGGGGCCAATAGACAAGTCTGTCTCCTCCAAAAATAAGGGCTGCATTTCAGCAGAATAGAAACACCATCAGATCTGGCCCAGCCACTCCGTGTTTCCCACCCCTCCCTTTTTTTTTAAAGCTTAACAGATCCAACACAAAACCAGCTCTGATTTGAAAATACAGGCTGCACTGCAAAAAAAAAAAAAAAAGGCCTTTGGATTAGGACAGAGAGCAGGGCACTACAGAACAACAAGCTGTAGAAGGGTCAAAACTGACAAGACAAGAGGAAATAACCTCAAGTTGAGCCAGGGGAAGTTTAAGTTGAATATTAGGAAAAATTTATTCACTAAAAGGGTTGTTAAACACTGGAACAGGCTGTCCAGGGTAGCAATATGGTCACCAACCTTGGAGGCATTTAAAAGATGTGTAGATATGGTACGTGGGGACATGGCTTGGGGATGGGCCTGGGTTAATGGTTGGACTTGATGATCTTAGAGCTTTTTTAAGCCTCTTGACTATGATTCCATGAGGGAAGCAGCCAAACAGGAAGCCAATGGGAAAGTGGGTGCTATTTGCAAGGCCCTGCATCAGAGGCTGAACATGCATCAGCTGCAAGAACCTATTGCAAAGTAGGCCCCAAGTGTAGGATGCTTACTTTTAGCTGCTTTTTTCTTTTCCTTGCTGCCTGCCACCTTCTCCAGGTCACCATCTGCTTTCTTCTTTTTCTTTTTGGGTACATCTTCATTAGCTTGCCCTTTCAGTTTTTTCTTCTTGGGCTGCTCCACAGCCCCATCCTCTCCTGTCAGCTTCCGCTTCTGAGATGTTTTCTGCTTCTTGTTCTCTTTGTCTTTGCCCTTGGATGTTTTCACAGCCTTGTCTGCTGCGGAGGATGGCTTCTTTTTCTCCTTTTCTTTTTTCTCCTTTTTCTCCTTTTTCTTCTTCTTCTTCAGTTCCAACCCCTCCACTGTCTGCACTGCAGGGACTTTGGCAGCAGTGGTGACCTCAGTTTCACTCCCTGAGCTTGGCTGCTCTGACTGTGGGACGGAGAGCAGGGCATGTGATGATGCTGGGTTCACTTGCATCCCTGTTGCCCCAACATTGTTCTCTTTCATTGCCTGGGTTTTCTTTAGTGAGGAAGCTTTGAGGCTGGCATGACCTGGCTCTGTTTTTCCTGCCACCTTCTCTTTGCTGGAGGCTTCTGTAGCTTCCTGCCCTGAAGTGGGGTTGTTTTCTGCAGAAACAGACAAAGAAGACAATTCAGTGAGCATTCATTACACAGACTAGTCACAGGAGGATGGAAATATGCATTTGATGAGGAAAATCCAGTTCTTTTCCCAAGAAAAAAAACAAACTTGTTGGCATCTGCAGCAGAGTCAGAGAAAGATACCTTAGCCTGAAGTGGGTGACAACAGCCACAACAGCTTTGGCTGTTTGACAAGATGGGTAAGCATAGATGGAGCAGTCCTTCTCCAGGACACCATCCTCAGTAAGCTGGGGATTTCCCAGGGTGGTAGGGGTCTCCTCACTGCCACAGGTAATCACCACCAATGGCCAAGCCCAGAGCCCCTGGGCCCTCTTGAGCTATCTATACATAGATAGTTTTGACTTCCTCAACAGCCTTTTGCACAATTTCATGATATGCCCAAGGGACCAACAGACCCATCTGAACTTCTAGAGCAAGCCAGAGTTTATCTGAAGGTGCCAGAGTCGCACCAGAGCAGAAGCAGCTTCCAGCTTCAAGTTTTACAATTTGCCAACAAATCAGGGAAACAGTGGGACACTTTGTTTCTCCACTGCTCTTCTCTCTTGCTTCCCCTCCTCTGCTCTCCAGATATGCAGCAGAGCCCACATAGCCCAAGGGCAGGGCTTGAATACCAGCACGTGCCGCAGACATTCTTCAGGCAGCGTTTGAACCTTCCACAGAAGCCAGCAGTGCAGTGTGCACCAGCTCCAGGGAGAGCCCTACCCGTTCCTGTTAATTACTTTGGTTAAAGCACATCTTGGAAGAGGCAAAGGCACTGAGCCTTGGAGGCAGCCAGCACAAGCAGGGTGCTGAGGCAGAAGGCTGTGCTGTGGCCAGGGAAGCCAGCAGACGGCAGCAGCACTCCATGCTGTGGTTTCATGGTAGAGACACACTGGGAACAGGGCCCATCCCAGTGTCACCCTCCTGTGGCAGCACAGCTTCGCTCCTGGGCCAAGCAAATTCCCAATCTTGCCAAAGGAGACCCACCTGCTTTGTGGTTTGCAGCCACCTGGTTGTCATCTGTGTCAGAGTCACTGCTGTCACTGCTTGAGCTGTTGGCCTGGGCTGCTTTCAGGGAGCCCTTGGCGAAGGAGTTCGCAGCACTCCCAGCTGCCTTCCGTGGCCCCAGCTCACCTCCAGGCGGGGGGGGAACCGTCTTTGGTGCCTGGGGTGTTACTGGGGTCTTGGAGACGACTGGGTAGCCTGTGAGGAGGGACTGAAACAGTACAGACACACTGAGGAGTCACAGCAGGGAGCCTCCCACACACCAGACATGCAGCTCTGTCGCTGCTGCTATTGTCCTCATACTTCAAGTGAAGGGCCCACCTTTGGCCACCTGTGGAGCCTGCTCTAAGAGCCCAGGGCTACCAGGAGACAGGCCAACACTGATGGACACCAGCTGAGCTGACAGCCTCGAGCTGGCAGCCAGAGGTTCTCCTTTGTTCTCACCCAGCAAGGCAGGCTTGGGGGAGGCTCCTGGCCATCAGCGTGCGCCCACGCACACTTAATGCACTGCAGATGTGCTGCACGCCCTGCACGTTACTTACAAAGGGAATTTAATGCCTTGGACATGGCTTAAGTTACAAGTTAAAGTGAGGGAAAAAAAATCCCTGCTGCTATTGGCACTGTGCAGCAGCTCTCCTGGTTTAACCCTTGCAAGGTACCACATCCGTCTCTTCTCCCAGGGAAGGCACCATGAACCCTGGACCCAAGGCCTGGCTATCTGGGGAAGCATTCCAAATTCAAAAGCTTCTCTCTGCCTCCACCAAAAGCCCACATCACTGCACTGGGGAACCCCCACTTCTCTGCTGGCAAACCCACCCAGCACCCCATCTGCTGTGGCTGAGAATTGAGTCTCTCAGTCCTATTTGGGAGCCAGCTGCAAGACCCAAGAGGATCCAGCCTGCTCTAGTACCATACCTGCGATGCTGCATGCTCCTCCTCCTCACTGGACTCTGAGGAGGAGCTGTGGGGTGGCTGAGTCCCTCCTGGTTTCTGTAGGGGGCCTGCTGGAAGAGCAGAGTTCCTCCTGTTAAACCACTGCTGCCTGGGGCTGAGCTCACCTCCCCAGCACAGGCACTGCCACCAAAAGCCCTTCTGCCTCCAAAAAAAAGGGAGTGCTCTGCCAGTGCAAACCTGCCATGGGTAACAAAAGGCTGTCCCCATCCAGTAGCACTAAGAGCATCCTCTGGAGAGAACTGACCAGGTTTGGACGGCTGCTTGGGTGCCTCTTCCTCATCACTGTCGGAGGAACTGCTGCTGTCTGAGGTGTCCTCTGCATGGGTGGGTAGCACAGCCTGGCTTGGGTGGGTGTCCTGTCCTGGCTGCAGGACTGGCTTCCTTGCCTTGGCAGTGGAATTTCCTGGGATGGCAGTGCTGGCAGAAGAAGCTTTTCCTACAGGAACCGTTTGCTTTTGGCTAGAAGCAGCAGGGACCTAGGAAGAGGGAGATGAAATAGATCTGGAAGGAGGAATAACTAACTGCTCACATCCAGGAACTATAAGCAGCAGCCCAGAGTAGATGGGCTTGGACCACCTTGGCCCTTCTTCAGCTGTACTGCTCCACTTCTTGTCACAGTGAGCCCAAGAACCTCTCACAGGGCCCAGCTCATCCCGGCCCACAAGACAAGTGGGCAGCTGAGGCCAAGCAGACAACTGCTGTCACTAAAGGAAAGAAGCAGTGAGCCAGCTATGAGCCAGGAACAGCAAAGGTACCAGGGCTACCCTCTGCCTCATCTCATGGCATGATAATTGTGGTTAGGATAGAGCAGTCCCTCTCTCCCAGCTTCATGAACACATCCCTCAGCTGGGGATGTGGCACCAGCCCCAGACTCGAGCAGACCTGTCTTCTCCCTGTCCCCAGGAAAGCTCCCCACCTTACTCTCCTCCACCATTACCTTTCCTGCCAGCATGTTGTGCTCTGAGGCATCACTGCTCAAGCTCTCAGACACTCTGCTCACTGCAGGGGCAGCAGGAGTTTTTGTCTTCTTCCCTGAAGGCAGGCTGGCATTTGCCTTTGCAGCCACCATGCTCGAAACTGAAGTTCCTTTCATGTTCTGCTGGGACAGAGTCTAAAAGAGATGAGAAAGAAAATCAGGACAGAGCAAACTTGGAGGGAAAAGATACAGAGGCATACACCAATCCAGAACTAACTCCTAAGCCTTTCTATCATTTTCAGCACAGCACCAAGACTTTTTGGTTTTTAATTCTCTCCTTTACAGACCAGTTCTGCCTCCCATGGGCCTCTGAACAAGGCCTCCAGCACAGCCAGGAGCAGAAATGAGGGCCAGCACCCCAAGAGCACCAAAAGCTTTAGCTCAGTGCCCCAAAGGCACCAACCCTGAGGCAGGCAGGGGAAATGTGCTGTGCTTGCAGGCTCTGAATCCCTACCCACTGCAGCACCAGCAAGACTGCAGTTGCAAACCTTTGCAGAGTGGGCACTTGGACTCCAGGATGTCTTTTACAGGCTAAAAATCACACAGCAACAGTTAATTTGCAACAGAGATAACAAAGACACCAACCAAGGGGAAAATCTGCCTCCAAGTCCACAAATCAAAAACAGATTAGGAGTCAAATTAACAAGGGCAATTTTGTTGCCTCACATTTGAAACCTCCCATTAAACTTAACATAAGAGTGGTTAAAAATAGAAAGGCCAAGGGCATGGAAACCAGGCACTAAGGACAGGTCCATGACAAATGCCAGCAGAGGAGGGAGAAGGAGCCACGAAGGAGCACTCAGCCTCCTGGATTGTGTTACTGACGAGGCTACGTGAGCAGCTCTCCCCACCAGATCTCTGACAAGCTGGGCCTTTGTGGGCTGACATTTCCCTCATACAACATCTGGCCTTGGGAAAGGAAAAGGCCCCGCTCTGCTGTGCAGAGCTGCCAGCCCAACATGAGCTCTCAGCCCTCTCACACAAAGCTCAAGTTACAGCAACTGCATTATTTTATACAATCTCAGTAATATAAACATGCTTTACTCAAGGACTGCTCAGGATGGCTGCCTGCCCATCAGCTGGAGGGAGACATCCTTTCCACTGGCCACAGTCTCAGGCTGACACAGGGAAGGGTTTCCTGCACTCATAATGTCCTCCTCCCAGCAAAGGCATGTGTGAGGCAAGAAGTGTGCCTGGCCACCAAGCCCTGGGCTCAGAGCACCAGCCAGGCCACCAAAATGTGGAAGAGTAGCCATGTTCCTCAGCCAGTGGGTTTTTTATGTGGTTTCTTGGGCTCAAACTGCAGCACAAGTGCAGACACCCCCAAGACAGTTTCACACCAAGGCAGCTCTGGCCTCAGGGAGCTCAGCCACAGCTTTGCAGGACCGGCATGGAGACACAAAGAGACTCCAGTGGGAGAGCTGGGATCGGCTCCATGGCACTCAGGGATGCTCTCAGCACAGATATGGGGTCACCTCCCTTTTTCAAGGCAGGGGACTGGCTCCCCCAGCTGAAAGGCAGCAGGATTGCTGTGCTACTCCTCAGGGCAGATCCTGCCATTCTCCCAAGGCTTGTGGAAAAGAAGACCAAAGAACTTCAAAGGTCTGTGAGGAATGAGGTGATGGATTGCTTTGGAGCTACACAGGTCGTGGAAAGACTCTTCCTGTAAGGATCTGGCTGCTTGTCCAGCCTAAATTCCTGGAGTAGAGCAGAAGGAACAGAGTGCCAGGGAAGGTCTGGGCTTGTGTGTGTCTACTCGTGTTCCTGTCAAAGCACTCACTCTCCACTGCTCTCACACACTGCAAGATTGCTGTGGCTGAGATGTGCACCCAGAGCTGGGGTCAGCCAGACCCATGGATATGGCCAAGAAAACCAGATCCAGCCAACAGGAGGCTCCTCTGCACTGCTCATCACCTGCACAATTACCACCTTCCAGCTCCTGAGACCTCCTGAGCCTGCAGCACTAAAAGCCTGAACAACCAGTGGGTCAGTGGCTCCTCACCTGGGAAGGGGGGACTATTTCATCCTCTGAATCTGACTCCTCACTGGAATCGTCACTACTGTCCACAGCTGGAGGGGCTGGTGCCGAAGCCGGTGCCTTTTTCGCGTTTGTTGGTTGGGGCACAGCGTTGGTTTTCACTGCTGGAAAAGCACAAGAATTTCTCTCAGTGTCAGAAAGGATTGCTCTCTGTGGCTGTGCAGAGCAGGAGCTGCTCCATGTGCAGGGGAGAGTAAGAAACCCATAAGGATGCTGGTGTGGGATCCTGGCTACTACCAGGCAACTTACCAGCTTGTGGGGGCTGTGTCTGTGCTGCAGGAGACTCCTCTTCACTGTCAGACGAGTCACTGCTCCCACTTTCTGCAACCTGGCTTTTCAAGGTGCTTACCACTGCTTTTTCAGGCTGCCCAGCTTTAGCAGCCTGGGTCAGGCTGGGAATAGGCCTGGGCTGGTCTGATAACCTCTTAACAAAAAAGAAACACAGACCCAGAAATGCAGTATTAGTACAGGTGTTTAGGTTCTAGTGCAGTTTCAGCTCAGGCTGGGTTTTGTTTTACCCTAAGAGAGCTGTTACTAACACTCATGCCATCCTTGCTGTGTCATGAGTGGAAGGGGCTTCAGTCACTGCCTGGGCTGAGCTGCTGTAGATATATCCCTCGTAATTTAACAATTTCCTTCTGACAGAAAGCCCAAGTATGTTTTACATGAGCACAAAGGCTAATAGTGCTTGTAATCTTCTAACAGCAATTCCTTCTTGAGACAGAGACACTGGCTGAGGACAGGAGAACTAGGAGTGCAACCCCAAGATTCCCACTCAAAGGAAGCCATTCAAGCACGACCTACCCACAGTTCAGGGAATTAGTAGGAGTTTGGAAGCCTTGTGCCATAACACTTGAAAGATTCAGAGACAACATCAGAGCAGCTACAGCCTAGAGCTGCTAGAGAGCTCAGTGTAGACACAGGGCTGACACAAGGGTTGGGAAACACAGGGTAGACAGAGTGTGACTCAACTTGGAAGCTGATTTGTCAACAGGTCTAATAATTTAGAAATCTCCAGACAACAAACACCTCTGATACACACTTGGGCTGTGTTTTTCTGCAGCACCTATCAACACTCAGTGTTCCAGGACAGACCACAAGCCACTTTCCCTGCTGTGTCAGCACTAGGAAGCCACAGTTACCTGGGAATGCCCCAGATACACAACTGCCAGGTGAGACTCTCTCTTCCTATCCCTTCCTGTGCACTGAAGGTTAGTGGTGGCAGAGGAGAGGAAGTGCTTGTGGAATGATCTGGGGATTTCCTCCCCTGCAGATATTCCCCAGGCTGGCACTGCTCTGCACCCACTCATTTACTCCACTCATGGCTCATCTCTGGGCTGCACTGCCAAGGAGTACATCGTGTTTGGCAGGGCAGGCAGGCCCTGTGCTCCCTGCATGTGATGCCAGCCTGCTTTGGTGCTCCATGAGAGATTCCTGCCCAGCTGCACCATCCCTGCTATGCTGCTAATGCAGTGATAGCCCACAGCCCACAGCAGGGAGCACCAGCGCAGCAGCCTCTCAGGAAGACCAATCCTACTGTGCTTCCTGGCACAGCCCTGCCATGGGCTGCCATTGGGGCACTGTTTATCATCTCCAAGCCAAACACTAAACAGGCAACAGCATCTGCATGTTTATCCCATTACAGAACAGCTCTCTGAACGAGCCAAGCACATTTTGACTCTGCTTAGAGAAACAGAAACCTCCACAAGTGCTTGGGGAGGGGGGACCACAAACCTCACTTCTCTGTTTTGTTTTGATACCAGTGAGTCACAATCTCCAGGAGAGAGGCCAGCTTTGCAATGCTGAAGAGACACAAGTACTTGAAGCACTCAGAAGAATTCACACACACTGCTCTGAACGTGCTAGCTCCTCTCTGCTGTTCTGAACACTGCTGTGCAAGGGAAGAGCTTACCAAGATCAGAGCCCACTGAGTTTTAAGATCACTCCATTTTAAGCCCTTCATAGCAATGTTCTGGCTTCTCCCTCTATGTGGATGCACAGCACGGTGTGCTCCTTTTCCTAACTTAGCAATGGAGTGGGAAAGAACTGCCATGCAGGGGCATCATAACACAGAATGAACATAACAGCATCCACATAGAAACCACCATAAGGTTTACACAGCCTCAGATCTTCCTGGGAGGCAGCCAAGGTCCATGAATCCACATCAGATGGATGACAGCCTCAGGTGGGATCTGGCCAACAGCACGGCCAAGTTACACCCAGAGAGCAGGTAATATAGGCAGAGAGCTCCTGGCAGCTTGAGAGTCACAGGTACTGAAGTAACTCAGAGAGGAGGAAAATAACTTGAGAGGAAATAATTTTTCCTGCTCCCTCTCCAGCCCCCAAAGCAATAGCTGCCTGTGGCTCAGTGAGTGTGATGACTTAGCTCCTGCACAACCCATCTGCCACTCACTGGGTCCATTTGCATCCTGCAGCGCTGCATGACAAGAGGGGGAACAACACTGAGCCACGTGCTAGGTGCACGTTGTAAAATCACACTCCAGCAGCACCGTGTACCAGCACTGGGAGCAGCATCTCAGCTGTGTCATGGCCCAGCCAAGGGCAATTGCCACCTGAACAGGAGAGAGAACAGGGCCCAAGGAGGAAAAGAAGACCCTCTGTCTCTTAGGATATTTGGCCTCTACCCACACAGCCTGCAGTCCAAGATTAAAAGTTGCTGGCACAACTTCTGCCAGCACAACCCACGCGGGTTTTCCTGGGATGCTCAAGGAAGACACGGGTTCCCAACACATGGATGCACGTGCATCTCACACCCACTCCTTGTAAATAGAAGCCAAAGCCTGTCTATAGAGGGCTCAAGTGCCACCTTTGGCTCAAAACACTCAGGAAAGAAGCAGCAGAGCAAAATTAGCAGTTCCAAAAGAAAAGCAGCTCACAGCATCTTTAAGGTGAGACTGTCCCCCATTACTATCCTTTCCCCCCAAAATATGCAAGCACCATGTCAACTTCTTTGACTAAATATTCCTGAGTCTTCAGGGGTAAACATACCAATTAAGCAGTTCAATTTAGGCATGATGTTCATTTTAATTGTGCTAATCCACCCCCACAGGGAAAGATGAAGCAGCTTCCAACGCTCTGTATCTGTTTGGATCTTGCACAGAAGCCAGAGGAAGTTGCAGGATACAGTAAGTCAGTGGTTAGCATATGCCCAAGTAGCAGATGGCGAGGGATGAGCTAAGAAGAGTTTGACTGGGAGGACAGGACTGTGGACACAGCTAAGCCCAATGGTTTATCTTCAGGCTTCACTCGTGTTCTCTGCCTGTAGGCTACGAACACGGGAAGGAACAGCCTGTATGGCAAAAATAGAGCTCCCTCGATGACAAGCTCTTCCTTGCTGACTCTGGCTTTTGAGGGGTAAATGTCAGTTTGCAAGAGGGAATATGCTGAAGCGGTTAAATCAGCAGGTAAAACTAGCTGTTGGAAGCTTCACAGAATCAACACTGGAGGACACAAACCTACCCCGGCAAATAAACCCTGCTAAAATTGAAAAATCTCAATGGTTTTACAGTGGGACCTCATGGCACAGCTAACAAATAGCTGTTTCTGTCATCTAGAACTGAATCCTCACATATAATCAATCATGCAGGAAGAGAGCAGCACAGAGCCAATTGTGAGAGAAACATCCCCCTCCACCCACCTCAACAGACCAAGGCTATAACGACAAAAATGCAGAGCCTCACTGGCTCTGGCCTGTCAATAGTCAAAGGATGTGTTGACAAAGAGCCTCCTTGCAAGGACACATGAGGCTCTACCCCTAGCTTCTGTTCCTCCCTTGCAGACAGTAAGGCTGCATCTCCAAAAGACTGCTTTCAGGGCACTTTCTGAAGGGCCCTGGAGCTCATATGATGTGCCTAGGGATGCTTTCAGGAAGGGATTTGCACCCCTTTGAGTTTAGCCACCCGAGTCCCAGTCCTTCTCCTTTGGTTAGAGAACTCTGAGCAAACCCCCACAGGAGCGCCAAGACCAAGCTACCTGTGACCCTGCACACAAGGCCACTCCAGAGGGGCAGGGCATGAGTGAATAGCTGGTATCAAACCTGTGCCTCCCACCTTCTGTGGGACAACTGCGTGAGAAGAGTGAGGCTGTACTTGCTTCCAAACAGAAAGATCATCTTCTCCAAGAGACTGAGAAACAAGATATTTCTGGTGTTTCAAGGAGGTCAGTGGCAGCATTTAAGGGATAAATGCTTGTCTGGAATATCCCATCCCTTGGCACTGGGGTGAATGCAGCACCTACCTTCTGGCTGATGGGCACAGCGAGATCCTCCTCTTCACTGGCTGATGAGGCAGAGCTCTCCACTGGCTTCATACTTTCAGCAGACTTTGTGGGAGTAGCAGTCCTTCCTAGTAAGGTTTTTGCCTGCTTTGGCACTGTTGGTTTTGGTGCTGTCTTCCCTTGGGACCGTGGAGATGTTTTTGTTGGAGTTGCCTTGACAGAGACTGATGCTGCTGGTGAAGGTTTCACTGGGGATGGGACAGCCTGGGAGGATTTTGGAGATATCTTTGTCTGGACAAGATATGAACAGAGTGAAATAAGGCAAATCCCACAGCAGCATAATTCATTTGCTCAGACTGTAATCAAGGGAAGAAATTTCAGAGCCCCCTGGGAAAGGCAAATCTTGAAGGAAGATTAGTGACTGGCGGGACACAAGGAATTCTTTCATCTAGCTTTCTCCATCAGCCTGCTGCTACTACCAGTCCCCTCCAGTGAGGTACAAGGCAGCATTTTGCACTCTCTACAGCAGGGAAGCTGAGTTGCACTACAGTTTGACAAATTAGACACTATTTATTGCAATTTATACCTGAGAAGCAAATTCCACCATGATAATTTGCCTCTTCGGGTGGGAAAAGAATCACTGGGGTTTTTTTTCATTTAAAAGTACTGATGGATTTTTCTAAGAAAGGCACAATGGGTTGATTAAAGCTCAGAGCAAAGACACGGAGGTGCCTTTTAACAATTCACGCCTCCTTCCTCCCACCCCCAACATGACTTTGCTACACACTATATGCATTTACAAAATTTTCTTTCCACTGCAGTTCCTAGCCCTGAGAGGCATGCAAGGAGAGGGAGGATCTCAGAGACACGCACTTGGGTTACCAATGGACGTTCTTCATCTTCACTGTCCGAGGAGCTGCTGCTCTCTGATGTGTCATCGGGCTGTGCAGTCCCAGGAGCTGCTGTCGATGCAGGTTTGGCCTGGATTGCTGCCACTGCTGTTTGCTTCACTGCATTTTTCTTGAGGGACAGTGGAGTAGGAGGTGCACTTTTCACAGGTGCTGCATTACTTTGCACTGCTTTAACAGCTGGCTTGGCCTGGGAACAGGGGGAACAAAAGGGAACAGGAGATTCAGGTAAAATCTTGGAAGAAAATGGTTGAAAGCTCTAACTGCATGGAATCTGTTTTAAAGCAAGCTACATTGCTAATTTTGACCAGGACAGGCTTTTTCAGACCCATGAGCTCTGGAATATCTGAAACAAGTCACTTTCTTCATGGACTGCCTGACTATATCCATCAAATTGCATACTAATCACCTCCTACAGATCCAAGGATCTCCCTCAGCTTCAGGCACTAGTAGAAACTGGAATAGAATGGTTGATGTCAGCAAGGTATAGTGCGGCTCTCACACACCCAAGTTAAGGGGTGCTGTCAGAATACAGCACCGCAGCATTTCCTCTCTTCTTCAAAAGAAGGGAAGTGGTTTCCTAGGGATTAAGAATCCATGTTGGAGAGGTTACCTGGATGGCTGGAGTTGCCAGCTCCTCCTCAGAGGATGTGTCCTCACTTGATTCCTCACTGCTGCTCTCGGCCCCAGCTGCTGGCTCTGAAATACAGGAGAGGAGATGTCACAGCTGCTGCCTGCTCTGATCCCCAGAGTGTGATGCTAATGTGGCTTTTGAAGTCAGGGAAGCAAAACAAGCCACAGAGAGGGCTAAGGGGATTTGCAGGGAAACGGACCTAGCCTTGCTGAAAACATTGATGGCCTGCTGAGAACAGCTTCTCCAGACAAATGCTGGTCCAGAAACTCTCCTTGAGTGCAGGCAGAGATGGGAAATGCCTCCTGGCCACTCTCTGACCCTATGGGGTGTTGCCCAGCCACACAGAGATCCCTGTAAGGGCACCCAGCCTGGCTGGGCCTCCTCTGGGTAAGAGCCAAGATCTATTCAGAACTTCAATGATCTATTTCTCACCAGCCTACTCCAACACACATAGATACATTTCAAAGCATTTAAAGATTTCCTTGAAGAATTCAAACCCCAAAACTAATCACTTTGCAATTGGGAATAAAGAGAAAACACTGTGGTGCCTTTCCATAAAGCTGAAAGTATCAGCAGTATTAGTACTGCATCTCCTCTGGACATACTACACTGTTAGCACCAACCCTTGGGTATGTGCTGGGTGCTGCCAGACATGTTAGCACAGGATCTGCTGCTTGAAATGGGAGCAAGCACGCTGGATTCATCCCACGGAGCTCTGGAGCTGGCTGCTTTGCAGTGTTCTAGCAGCCTCCCCAAGGAACAAGCACCACTCTAAGCAAGGGAGGAACTAACAGGAACATGCTGAAGGCACGCCTCAGATCCAATCTGCAGCAGAGCTGGAGCTCACACACATCTACACCACCCTGCAGGCTCCTTACCCGCCCTGGGAGCTGGGGTCTGTGCAGTCTGCTTCTCCTCTTCCTCCTCGCTCTCGGATGAGGAGCTGCTGCTGCTGCTGCTGGAACTTTCCGGTGCTTTGGTCAGTGTTGGTGCTTTGCTTTGCCCTACTTTGGCCACAGCTGCTGTGGCATGTCCAGGCTTCCCAGGACCAGGCAGTTTCTGGGCCTTGGCTGGGGCTGGAGCTGCAGCTGGGGCATTGGGCTGCTGCTTGTTAGGGAGCACAGTTCTGTCAGCAGCAGAGGGCCCTGCTGCTCTGCCTGCTGGGGCAGCAGCCTTGGGAGCTGAATGCAGGGAGTTGGCAGCTTTGCCACCCACCACAGCTGCTGTCACCTAAGGGAAATAAAGGAAATTAGAAGGCTACTCATGAGAGGATGAGGAGCTAAACTGGAGACAATGTACCTGCAACAGCAATGTGGCAGCAGGTAAGCCACAGAGCTCTTCAAGGCAGTGTTTGGGGGACAGGTATCTAAGAGAAGGCTTATGGCAGCACAGAAGGGTCATTTAAATATTGTTTCCACCCCAGGAAACAATTCTACACATGCTGAGGAGTCTGAGACAGTCCTGGCCTCAGAGTACCACCAGCCTTCAAAGCCAGGAGCATTGCCTTACCGTCACTGCACCTTTCCCAGCTGGAGCCTCCTCTTCTGATGAGGACTCATCTTCCTCACTGCTTCCTATATTCACTACTGAGTTTGTGGCCAGAGGAAGGCTGGCTGCTGCACAGGAGAGAGGCACAGAGCAGCTGTGTGAGTGTGTTTCTCACACAGTCTCTGGTTTGCAGGAGGGCCCCAGCAGCAGGGCAGGGTCCCATCTCCTACCTTACCCAAGACCATCACCACTGCTGTCCCTGTGACAGGCAAGTGCTTTGCTCCTCCACCCCATCCCTCTCCCAGCCACCAAGACAGGAAAGATCTGCAGTCTTCTAAAGGCTGGTCTACAGCAGACCAGACTGAGCCAAAATATATCAGACATCAGTTAGACTTCGCAAGCCAACACCTCCCACATCAGCTGCACTCGAGATGTATCCCACCTCACACAGAGGGCACTGGCTTGCCAGACCAACTAACAAGACCTTCCCTGACCCATGAAAGAGCCCTGCCTTTGCTGGCAAAACACACACCTGGGACCCATTAGAGGGTGCTCCACAGTGGGCAGCGAGAGGTTCCCAAAGCTTCATCCGAGCAACAACACCCATCCCTCCCCACTGAATCATAACAGGTTTTTTCTAGCTTCAGCAGACATCTGTGCTCCTCAGAAACTCCACATGAGAAGGGGGTGCTAAATTAGTTGTCCTATTTTTCTATGAGCACAAATGAATAGCCATCACTTTACAAGCATTTTCTCCAGCCAAGCAAGCTGGGCTGCTCCTACACAAGTCTCCAGTCCCACTCTGTCAACTCCAGGGAGATAAAAGGCTCCTACCATTTGCAGCTTTCTCCTTCTCCTTCTCATCCTCTTCTTTCTCTGAGCTCTCAGAGCTGCTCACGGGATCAGGAACTCTGATCTTTTCTGGGATAGCTGCCTCCTCATCATTCTCATTTCTTCTCTTGGAATTTGGTGGAGTTCTGAGGGAAGACAATGGGTGTCAAAATGGGGAAAAAAGATCTTGAACAAATTAAAATATAATTATTCATTCACTCTCAGATCAAGCTCCAAGCCTAAGAATAGGCAGTGTAATTTCTCTACAGAGGAATTCCTAAGGGGGTGGCAAATACTTCTCTAACCTCCAAGGGACATCTCCAGTCCTCAGTAAACTTCCAAGAGCAAGATATTTCTGCAACATTCAGAATAAATAACGAACCTAGACCATTTTTCTGTGCCCTAGGCAGACTCCTCACTTTAGCAGAGAAATAAAAACAAACACAGTCAGGCTGGTGCTCGATAGAAGGCATCCTACAGAACAAATTCCATCTCCAGGAGGCAGCTACAGCCTCAAAGTGTAGCCTTAGGGTTAGGGCGGATAGCCCAAAAATACCAGGTCCTGATATTCCACAGAGCCAGGAGAAGCCAAGCTAAAGGGTACAAAAGCCGTTTGAACTTGGGCTCCCAAGTCAAAAGGCAGGAAAGTCAGGTTGCAGAGAGGTTTAAGAAAGGAAGTGGCTGGACCTACATAAGATGTGCTAGAAAAAGAGGAGGAAGAGACCACGTAAGTATTAAACAGTTAAGCTGCTCAATTGGGTTAAAACATTAAGTTGGAGAAAGACTTCTCCAGGCTCTAAATTCTACCTGTACCAGATCAGATGATGTGGTTAAAGTTATCCATGTTTTCATTTGAGACTTAAAGAAAACACATTTGCTTTATTACAAGGGCACATGCCGTTGTGATTCACACATGCAATGCTTCTAAGCCCTGGGACACAGTTATCAGAAGCAAATATCCTCACTTCTAGGCCAGTTCAGCTCATTTTATTTGCTCATCTGTTTTAAAAACAAGATTAGTTTAACAATTCGATGAGTAAAGATTGTGCTTGGTGTCAGAGTGTTCTGGCAGCACAGCTGTAACAGCGAGTTTTGTGCAAGCAGGCTAAGCCAAAGGCATGTCTGCGCTTAGGAAGTCCTGTGACTACTCCAATAATCCTTTTACTAAAGCAACAGGGCAGCCCACACAGGCAGCTCTGATCCTACAACACCATCCTGATCCAGTGGCAGCTGACAGCACAACACAGATTGATTTGAGAATTTGTTGTGAGTGACCAGGAGCTCAGGGATACCCTGTGTGGGGAAGAAATGGTGTCTGCTAGCACTGTCCTTGTGGCATTCTGGAACATCTGAGGGTTGCAGGGCTCAGGCTGCTCCTAGCGGTGAGCTGGTCCAGCTTTCCCTAGCTCTCAGGCACTCTTCCACCCCCTCTCTGCATCCTCCAGGAGTAAATGCAGCTCTGGGGGAAGGCTACTCCTAGAACTGCAAGTCTCAGCTTTGGGCTCGCTCTGGAAGAGTTTCTGGAGAGCAGCACCAAAGATGGCCTTGGTGAGAAAGGCAAGAGCCACAGGGTAGATTAAGGAAGGACATTCTGGGGCCAAAAGCCTATGAAGCAACAGGATGTGATAAAGACAGCTCACTCACAGGAGCACTCCAGGATAAAGGTAACTGGCCAACACACCCCTCATTTTGACTCCCAACCAGACAGAACTCAGACACACCAGGAATAACAGATGTCTTTGTGGGGCAGGACCAGAACAGAAGGGTGACACTGAAGAAAAAGGAATTAAACCTGATGCAAATGTCCTGTTGCTCCTCAAGTTTAAAAGCAGCAGTCTCTTGGAGGGTTTGCTGCAGCAGGCAGGATAACCAGCACATGGGAAGGTCACCACCAGCACCCACAGAACAAACTGTTAGAGGGAGGAACTGCAAACCTATTTCTACACTGCTACATCCTCATCTGGATCCAGCCTTTCTCCTGCTTGGGAGTGGAGGACAAGAGCAAGGCAAGAGGCATGGAGCAGAAAACACCTTTGAAAAACACTTCCCAAGGCTAAGGAGATCCTTACTCCAGTGCTCCCAACTCCATGGATTCCCAGATAACCCAGCACTGAGGCTGCCACAGGCCTCTGCAGTGCTGCACTCCAACATCTAACCAAAGCAAGCACGGGGGGGTGCAAATATCACAGATGGGAAGGCTCCCTCCTGCAGACCTTCAGATGGGGGATAATGATGCAGGAAGGCGTTTGGAACATGCAAGGACTTGAAAGGACAGGCTGAAACCAAGAGATTTCCTCTGAGTCAGATCATCTGTGATCTATGCCAAGGTTTAAGTCCCTGTTAAGAGTTTTGGCATTTCAGGATCTGCTCAACTTCTCTGTTCTCAGGTCAATAATCCTGAAAAGCACGTGGCTTTAAAAAGAAAGTGAAACAGAAAAGGGGAACAGATTTCTTACAGTAAGGCATGACTGAGCTCCACAACACTCCTGCATCAACCAGCACAAACAGCATCAGCTGCTCAAAACTAAAGTAACAACTTATCTCCAAACTCAGGAAACGTTAACCAGCATAATCTCCATCATCTGAAATGAATTGCTGTGAAGCCAGAGATTAGGAAAAAGTTCTTCTGAGCACAGTTATCATCGGAAATCCTCTGACAACATGGAATTCCAGCAAATAAAAATCACACATGCCATGAAACTCAGACGTCAGCAGAGTCTGGAATCTATTTGATACTCATTCCCTCCTTTAACTTACTTTTCCCAGTGAGTAAAGATGTCCTCGAGAGAGGTCGAGAGGGAAGGGAGCAATTTCTGTGAAAGCAGAGCGAACACCAGTCAGGCACCGGCCCCGTTTCGGGATGTGAGCACCAGACAGAATCAGCGACCGCGGGGGCCCATCCAAGCCTCCCCGGGCAAACGGGAGCGCATCTCCCTGCACACACCTCCCGGTGAACCCCTCCCACTCCCCGCCCCGCTGCACCCAGGGCCGCGTGTTCTCCCGGAGACTTCTCCCGGAGCAGCACGTGTTCGGGGAGCAGCATCTCGCCGGGACGGGAGCCGCACCGGGCGGGCTGCCAGCCTCTCTGCCGGCTCTCCCCGGCCGGCTCGGAGCCGGAACGGCCCGCGGGCACCGGGAACACCCGCTGGGTGCCGGGACACCACGTGGGTCCAGCACGGACCTGCGGACCGGCGGGAGCCAAGGGCCCGCGGCGCGCCCGGCACTCACACGGCGCTCCCGGCGATCGCTGAGGGCGCGAAGCGGGACCGGGCCCTGCGGCCCCGCCGAGGCCCGCGCTCCGGGACCGCCCCGCCCCCGCGGCCCCCCTGCCACCTCCGCGGCCCGGGCCTGGCCTCCCGTTACCTGCCCACTCTGTGCCTGCAGCTCCCGGGCGGCCCGCGCGAAGCCGCCGCGGAGCAGGTGCTGGTGGATGAGGGCGAGCAGCTCCCGCCCGCCGCCGCCGTCGGCGGCCATGGCGCGGCCCGCGTGCCGCGCCGGACAGACGCCACTTCCGCTTCCGCTGTGCGGCCCCATGGGAAACGTAGTGCCGGGAGTTGCCCGGGGACACCACGTGGGGGGAGCCGGCGAGGAGGGGTTTGTCACCTTGTCACCCCACGGGGGTCCCGCACCGCCCCGGGGAAACGGGCAGAAGGAAGGAGGGGATCACCCCATGGGTCTGTCATGCCGCCCCGCTGGGAGATGGGGGGTTCACCCCATGAGGTTCTCTCACACCCCCTCGGCTGCGGATGGGGCACAAAGAAGAGCGGGGGTCACTTCACGGTGGTCCCGCATTTCGCTCTGGCAGGGGATGGGTGAGCAGGGAAAGGGCGGTCACCCCATGGAGGCTCCCTCCACCGCCCTGGTGGGGATGGAGGAGAAGGGAAAGCGGGGGGGTCACGCCATGGCCGGAGCTGGGCCCCTCAGAGCCCTGGGCAGGAGCTGGGGGCGAGCAGAGAGCGGCAGGAGGGGGAAGGACGAGCCGCCACCAGCGGGGGTGGCACAGCGGGGGCTGCTCCAGCAGCACCATATGTAATTCCATATATTTCAGAACAGTTTTCCATAATAATCATCCACAGTGCTCTGAAGCCGAATAATCAGAGTTGATTTAGTGCTGAGTGGACTTTGAGCTGCTCGGAAGTGCGTTTTCGGGGCTTAAATAAGCAAAGGGCCAGAGGAAAGAAGCTGCTCCTGATGCAGAGCAGCTGTTGGAAAGGGGCCTGTGACAGAGGGGCTGCCCACTACCACCCCCCACCCCATGCCGATACTTTCCAGGAAAAATCTGGCTCCCATCACTTTGGCAGGGGTTTATTTTTGGAAGGTTTAATAATGTCCATGGTACGCCTGTCGCTCCTTCAAAATACAGACCCTTTATTTGTATTCATAGGCAGGATTAAATATAAAACTGGCCTGCCTCCAGCTGGCTCTTGTACCGAATGTCTTTGACACCAGCATCGTCCAAGGCTGTAAAGCCACGGTCCAGGAGGCAGTTTTACAGCTCCTGTAAATGAATCGCAGACCTGGACAGCCCTTTCTGGGACTGACCTCCCCCTGCTCAAGTGGTCACTGCAGCCTGGCGTAAACGTGGCCTCAGCACACACTGTGATGGGGTGGCTGGACTGCACTGGTGTCCCAGCACAGCTGTGGCTGCTCCGAGGTGACCTGAGGCACAAAGGCTCACCTGGTGGCCTGGTTTGTGGCCCTGGTTCTCCTACCAGGAGAGGAAAAGCCAGGTGAAGCATCCTGGGGCAGAGAAGGGTGTCTCCTGGGGATGGGGCTGAGCAGACAGAGGCAGCCTGAGGATGCTGCTCATGGCCTCTGAAAATGAGGTTGGGTGCAGCTTGAGCCCCTGGAGCCCAAAAAGAGCTCTGTCTGCTGCAGGGATATGGATGAATAGCTTTGGACCTACTTTGACATGGTCTGGAATGGCTTTATACCTCCAGGAATTGCTCAGTTTGCTTTGTTTACTTAAAGAAAAAAAGCCAAACAACCCAAATCTGAACACTAACCCAGCTCCCACCAGCAGCCTGGTGGTTAGAGGAGCTGCTGGCCCGGGCTCAGAGTCTCTCCTGGGCAGCAGAGCTCTCCAAACATCTTGAAACAAATGTCAAACTATTAGTGGAGGCTTGCATGGTGCAGGTGATTGCAAAAGCACTGTTTGGAGAGGTCTAGGGAGAGGGTGGATGGGACATTTAGCACTGGGAGGGTGGCAGGTGACCAGATTAGCAAGTCATTAAGATGCCAACAGAGAGACAAAGAAGGGGAGTCCATCCTGCTAAGGAGACCCTCAGGTCAGGTGTGGGCAGGCCAGAGGAGCACAGCCCTGCCAGGCAGGGTTGGAGGTGTTCTGCCAGCCCAGCTTTTCCAGCTTTTTCCCTCTGATCTCCGTGCCACAGGACGATTCTTTACAGGGTGCCTGGGGAAAGCAACCCAGCATTTGGGTGCCAGGTATGCAACAGGCGCCTGCTCTGCTGCATTTTCAGGCCTCCCCTTTTCTCCCGTGGCTCAGGGCACACATGGACTAGAAAGCATAAAGGGTTTGGCTTTTACCAAGTTCAATAAAGCATGGGAGGGAGGAAGATAGATGGGCACAGATGGGAGGAAACGCTTTCAGGAGAGACTGCTTGAGAAAGGCAAATAGAGGATGTTAAAGCTCTGAGCACCCATGCACAAATGGCTTGAAAAATTGACTCCATTTCCCCCTTGCCCCCACCAAGTATCTCTTCACCAGTCTGCCGTAGTTCAGGGTCACCCGAGTCCAAAGCTTCATACCCTCAAACCACGAATACGCTCCACAAACCACAGCACAGGGCCTGGGAATAACACAACCCACTTGAATGAAGAAATCTGAAAAAAAATAATATGTATACTGCACCACAATTACAGGTAGAGAAGGTATTTGAGGTGGTTAGTAAACATGTCAAAAAATAAATACAGCTATTCAGTCAGCAAACAGCTGCGTGATTATAACCAGGAAAATCTACCCCAGCCCAAAACCAGCTGAGACCCAACAACACGCGCTTATTAAGGACTGGTATTTTTTCTGTGTGCGCATTTTTTGGAAGGAGGTTGAAAATATTTTGCCCACTCTTTATTTTAGGAAGGTGAAATGTCCCTGGTGGATTTCAAAAGCCAACCTTTCTGGTATGTGCTGTCCATGCCAAGACACTGAGTCACGAAGAGATCGGAGGAAGCTGTTGGAAGTCCAGACAGGGATAAAACAGCTGTAATTGAGGAGCCTGCTCAGCTCCGTCTGCTAATAACCACAAAGCCCTTCCCTGCCCTCAGCCTTCAAGCTGAGGTCTTTGCTTGCTGCCACTTTCACAGGCTCCCTGGTTATTGCTTGGGGTCAAGCTTGTCCACACCTATTCGGTTCTGAATGACTGCTTGTGTGCCAGCCAAGCCTGGGGTCAGGGGTGTTCCTGCAGGCTGGGGAGCACTGTGCTCCCAGCTGGAGCTGACAGCCCCCAGGCACGTCTGCAGGACCCTTGGGCTTTGCTGTTCCCCAAGCTTCAGGTTAATGTCTTTGTCCACCCTGGCACGTCATGTGTTGTAGCAGTGTGGGACAGTCTCTGGTCCCGGTGTTGCCTTTTGTTTGGTGCACATGGGGCTGCTGATGCCCGTTGAGGGCTTGCAGAATGAAGGGAGTGTGATCCATAGGGATCACGGGGCAGGGTGGTGGAGCAGGGACAAGAGGAAAGGTGCTCTGGTTGCTCCTCAGCTGTGGCAGCCCCTCTCCTGACATGTTTCATGGCTGCTGATTCCATCCAGAACGTGAGCTGCAGGCACAATGCTCCTTCTGCCTTGGCTCCAGAGCAGGGTGTGACAGGTGGCCAGGGACAGGAGCCTTGAGACCCCCAAAAAGCGACTCTGATGTGTCTCATGGGTCAGAGCATTGGCTGAAAGTGCAAGTCATGTTTAGAAGGATAATCTTCATGGCCCAGTTCAGAAGCTGAGCTGAATTTCCCTGCCCTGGGGGCACCACCTGGACTGGGCAGAGAAAGGAATATGGAGGAGGTGCAGATGGGGCAGGACAAGATGTAAGAGATAGATGGAGATGAAAGGTGTTAAGGGACAGTGAGGAGAGAAGGTGGGAGCATGGGGGGAGAGAGGCAACAGGGGAGCAGTGAAGGGACAGAGAAAGGGGTTCTTATTTCCAAGGGAAGATGAGTCAGGGAAGGGAGGTAGGAAGCAAAGGAAAATCTGATGAGGCATGGAGAAGCAGAGGAAATGACAAAATTAGCCTGGGGGGATTTGGTCAGTGGGGCCCCTGGTTGGGCAGCTCTGGGTGTGGAGGGGGTTGCCAGGTGCTGCTCGGCAGGGATTTGAGTCACAGCAGATCTCACCACGTCTGGGCAATGTCCTGGGCTGCAGCTAGGAAACTCTGGAGGCAAAATTGCCGATGGCCAATGCCACTGTCCTCTGCCCAGCCAGTGGTCTCAGGCTTTGCAAGGACAGGGAGCTGCTTTGGGACCAGTCTGACTCAGGAATCCCATTTTATTCTTCCCCCCTTTGTTTTGCTGTACTCTCCCCCCTCCTCCTTTTTCTTTGTCTGCTAATGCACAGCAGATGGGAGGAAATGCCATTTTAAATGCCACAGCATCCTGATGAAATGCGATGGGTTATGGCAATCTCGGATGAATCATGGCATTGTTTTGTGCACACGGCTCTCTCTCGGCCTCGCTTGGGCAGCTTTCTCCCTCCAGCTTTGCAAGTACACCGAGGATTGCTCAGGCATCCCCACCAGCCTGGTGGCAGGTGCCCTCCCCGACCTGGGTGTCCAAGTCACATTCATTAATTTCACCACCCGCATTTCTGGAGGGCAAACCAAGCCCATGACCCTTTGCCAGTGGTGAAACCAGCATTTAGTTTGGAAACATCTGCTCCACATTGCCTTTGGGGACTTCAGGGGTTGTAAATGATACTCAGTTCTCATGTTATGTACATAGGATTTTTGCACAAGGTGGAAGAACAATCTCAAGGGAGCCTGACCTGGTGAATCACAGCCATCCCCAGCACCTCCAGCTTAGCCCTTGGGCCCTCTGGAAAGCTGTGTCCCCACACCTGCCTTCTCCTTGGCCCCAAAGCCAGGATGGACTCACAGAGCCAAACCTCAGGGCTGTGATGCGGCCACTTGCTGTTGAGGCTTTGCTTGGGGTGATCAGATCATTTCCCCTAAGCTATGAGACAGGCACTGAATAATATTGACTCACTCTCTGGCAGCTTGCTGCCAGATGAGAAGGAGCAGCCCAGAAGTGAAAAGAAAAATATTAAAAATATATATATACACATATCCCAACAGCTCCATCACTGGAACTCAGAGCAACCCAGCCCTTTTAGTTTCAAACTAATTAATTGGGGGGAAAAAAGTCACCTTTAAGCCTGCGGAATATAAAGCAGTCTTTTAAATTTGGTAGCTGAAGGAACAGATTTGAGAACTCCAACGAGCAGAAGACGTGACATTAACATTTTGTTGC